TGAGCCGATGGGAGGGCCGAGCAGCAGCAATTCATCTTGATTTGTTTCAATTGTCCGGAGATGGCAAAGTTATAATCCTGTATAATTTCAGGAACAAGCAGGTTGAGAATGAATGGGTCGATATTATTTAAAACAAAACACACGAGAGCACGACCTTTCCCTTCAACGACGTGTTGCAGCACGAAGTCGCAGGAAACTCGGGGCTAACCTCTCAACCCCCGCGCTCCACGGGGTTGCGGTTATTTGGGCTGCTCTTTGTTTCTCTTCATGTCTGAAAGGGGGATTTGGAAATAGAAATGTAATATTACATGAAGTATCTCCCCGATGAAGGGAGAAGGTGAGCGCAAAGGGGACAGATTATTTTGAACAGGAGCAGCAGTTTGTTTGCAAACTGGTTTTTCTTTTCTTCCCCCCCCCTCCCCAACCTCCCCTCCCTTTTTTAATGTAATAAAAGCTTCCTTCACAGCGGGAGAAATTTATGCTCGAGATACAGCAACTTTGTGGTTGGTAATTCTCGAGGCCAACGATGTTTAAATAATCCATTTTCTCGGGGCTGCGCAGGGGAATAAAAGCATCCCGCTGCATGGAAGGCAGCCTGTCCGAGTCCCGCGCTCCTCCAGCGTGCAACTTCAGCGCCAGGGAAATCTTTTTTTTCCTTTTTTTTTTTTCGTAAAAAAAATACCGGCATTTATTTGTATTGCAATAAAAAGTACTGCCCTGTGTTTCCAGAGAACGAGATCCAGTGTCAGCGATCAGTCAGTCAATGCAGACCAGTTACCGCTGTGCAGCTTGGCTTAGTAAATAAAAATCCAGACAAAACTGTATGCTGTATATTTTACTCCCATGAAATAAAACACATTTTTTTTTTCATGTTTGCTGAAAAGTAAAACAATAATATTGTACGAAATGTTATACACAGGGCATGTTTTACATTGCAATATCAGAAACATCATTGCATCCACCAGAGGAACTATTCTAAAACTGATATTCACACATTTTTTTTTAATAATTATATGTTAGAAACATACAGTGTCGCATTTAGTATATACATTCCCTTGCTCGCAAGCGAAAAAATCCTAATCGCTTCTGTGTAACATGCTTTATTTTAAAGCCTAACCTTTTAAAAACACTGTTGTGATATTACTAACAACTGCTTTTATAAAATTAATTTGACATTTCGATATATATACATCCTTTCAGTCATTTTTATGTTAACAATGCTAAACTTAAAAAATAACAAGCTTATAGTAACATTAAAATGTCATATCATATCCAGTCAAACATTTGTCCATATATATATATATATATATGTCCTTGTAACTGTTGAAATACTCTTAGTGAAAGAAAGATCTCAGAATCTGTAGGAGGTCCTTTGAAAACAAAGGAACTATCTTATTTCAGTGGTTTCCTCTTTTTTTCCTCTCTCTCTCTTCTTTTCCCCTCTCTCTCTCTGTCTGATTTTTCCTCCTTTCTCTTTCTCTCTAGTACCCATTACTTTCTAGTGTAATTCTCAGTCTCTGCGGGAAGTGGGGAGGGATTCCCATGCAGTGTTTCCTACTTGGGTGTCTCACACGGGTCTGTCCACCGCGTACTGGCAAGCGCTCAGGTTGGAAGCGGGGTTCTGCACACTGGCATAGCCAAAACTGGAGTGCTGCTTGGCTTTAAGTCTCAGACTCGCCAAGCTCGAGTTACATGTGTCCCTATAAACATACGGAGGTGTTGGAGGAGCATAAGGACAGGCTGGCGTTGGCACTGCAGAATTCAGGGAGGGATTGCTCAAGTTGTTCAAGTTATTCAGGCTGTTGAGGCTGGAGCCGGGGACCCCGGTGACTGCAGAGGGTACCATGCTTGAAGACATACTCATGGAGGAGATGGAGTTTGGAGGGGAGAACATGCTCTGCGAAGACAGAGGGTTGACATTCATGGAGTTGAAGAAAGGAAAGCTTTTGGTGGAGAGGGAAGCGGAAGTTAGGCCCTTGGCTGCCCAGTTGTTGTACGAGTAGCCAGGATACATGTCATCGTAGGGCTGCATGAGGCCGTTAAACTGCGGACCGAAGCCATTTTTGCAAAGCTCGGCTTGCTGGTTCCTTTCTCTCTTTCTCCATTTGGCTCTGCGGTTCTTGAACCAAACCTTCAAAAACGGGGGGGAGGGAAGGAGATGCGAGACTTTTTTTACCCATCACCAGCACCGCAGCCCTTCGCAGCCTCTCGGGGCAACGGCCGAGCGTGTCCGTATATACATATACATAGAGATAGAAAAATGCGCACGTACATATATGCATACACACACACTAGGTTCGCCTCCTTCCCTACGCAGCCCCGCGCTGGGCCGGGGCAGCGATGTGCTGCCGGGGCTGCC